GCCACAACGCCTGGCCATTTTTGGGTTGCAGCCATCATTGTTGTTTGGCGGGCCCGGGCTGGGGATTCGAACCCGCCACCTTTAGGTGTTTGTGGCTGGCGCCTTAGCCGCTTGAGCCACAGGCGCCGAGCCTCTGAATCTTCTTGCACTTGGCTGTTGAAGGATCCTAGGATGCCACTGAGCATATATTAAGGGTGAAGAGAAAGAATAAAAGAGCACAAATACATCACTGCCAGTTTTCCTGTCTTCTTACAAAGGTATAGAACTTCAAAAGAAAGACTAATAAAAATAAACTATTTTCATAGTTTTCATGTTCCCTTTCAGTTTAGGTTCGTCCGTAAAAGAAAAAACACTCTGTGGTTTTTCTTCTTCCTTCTCACTCTATTTTTTTTTTTTTTTTTTTGAGTCTTGCTCTGTTGCCCCAGGCTAGAGTGATGTGGTATCATCATAGCTCACAGAAACCTCAAACTCCTGGACTCAAACAATCCTTCCGCCTGGTGGGTAGCTGGGACTACAGGTGCGTGTCCTGACACCCGGCTAGTTTTCTATGTTTAGTACAGATGGGGTTTCACTCTTGATCAAGCTGCTCTCCAACTCCTGAGTTAAAAGGATCCTCCCACCTTGGCCTCCCAGGATGCTAGGATTACAGATGTGAGCCACCACACCTGGCCTTCTAATCTCTATTTCTGACGCTAACTAAAGAGGACAAACAGCCTATTTTTCTCTAGCAACTACTTTACTCCTGACACTAGCTATGTAGGGTTAGAGTAGACCCCCTCTACATAGGTTAAGGACTCAGTCCCACAAGACTGCCCCCCACTTTAGACGCCAACTGTAACACTCCCAGTTATACTTCTGGTTAACAAATCAGGGCTTGCTACAGCCCCCCCGGTTTGATAATTTGCTGTGCTGACTCACAGGACTCAGTGAACACTTACATTTACTGCTTTATCATAATGGATATTATAAAAGATATAGAAGAACAGCCAGATGAAGAAGTACATAGGGTAAGTTCTGAAAAGGTTCTGAGTACAGGAGCTCCTGGACCCCTTGTTAGGGACAGATAGCAGGTGCAGGCTAATAGCCTAACCCCTTCACCACAGAAGGGGAACAAACTTGAGGAGGCCGATGAACATCGGTGAATGTTTAGTACTAAACCCCACAACAGCAGGAAACTTGAGGTTAGGGACTCTTCCAGGCTTGAAGCAGATGTAGGACTAGGAGCTCACAACCCAGGGTGACCTTTTGCCCTATTTAGCCTCATTAGCATGATACAAATCACACAACCCCAGCACTGTGACAGTTTACGATTGCCATGGCAACCCCTGGAAATTACCCTTTAAAGCTAAAGATGGGGAGGACCCTGAGTTCTAAGAAACATCCACTTCTTTCTGAGGAGAATCAAGACTATTTCTCCTACTGCTTAGCATTTTTATTAGCTATAGACATAAGAGTAGAGATGAGTTAACACCCCAGGGTCTTCTCCACTTGTGGAGACAAACCCATCTCTCTTTTGGGATGAACATTTGCTTTGTTTTCTTGCTCATGCAGTAAAGACTGGGCGTGTGAACTGGTGAGTGCCTCTGTGTTTGATCTGTCACCACTTTGGTCCCAGGCTCCATTCTTGGGAACCAAGGACCAGGGAATTCCAAGCCACACCTGACATCATGGAATTATGATATGCCACCACTGCCCCTGATATGGATGTGTTTACCAAGCCATAAGCTCTCTGAATTTCATCTTTTTTTTTTTTTTGACAGTCTCATTGTGTCGCCCTCAGTAGAGTGCTACGGCGTCATAGCTCACAGCAACCTCCATTTTTTGGGCTTAAGCAATTATCTTGCCTCAGCCTCCCAAGTAGCTGTGACTACAGGCGCCTGCCATATGCCCAGCTACTTTTTGTTGCAGTTGTCATTGTTGTATTAGCTGGTCCGGGCCTGGTTTAAACCCACCAGCCTTGCTGTAACCACTGTGCTATGAGTGCTGAGCCTGAACCCCATTTCTCATGGATTGTAATTTACAGAGGGTTCATCACATAGGCATGATAATTATTAATTTAATCTCTAACACTTCTCCCTCCCCAGAAGACTGGGTGGGACGGCCTGAAAGTTTCACGCTTCTAATCATGGCTTGGTCTTTCTAATGATCATACTCCCTCCTGAAGCTATTTAAGGATTCAGCAAGAGTTGCCTCATAAGAATAATAGATGTTCCTATTATTCAGGAAATTCGAAGGGATATAGGAGCTCTGTGTCATGAACTGGAGCAAAGACCAATTATGCATTTCTTGTTAGGTGATAATATGCATAGTGATCTCATATACACATAGATTCTACTTTATAGGATAGGTGCAGTGGCTCATGCCTGTAATCCTAGCACTCTGGGAGGCCAAGGCAGGAGGTTCACCTGAGCTCAGGAGTTTGAGACTGGCATGAGCAAGAGCGAGACCCAGTCTCTACTAAAAATAAAAAAAAAAACTAGCCAGGCATTGTGGTGGGTGCCTGTAGTCCCAGCTACTCTGGAGGCTGAGGCAAGAAGAGCTTCCTTTCCTATCCTTGAGAACCA